TGTAACTTTCCTGTACCCTTCTCCACTTCTGAAAGATGCCACGTTTGAAATAAAATAAGGACAAGCCATTCTCAATATGCTTGTCATACAAGGCACAAGTGGGATAAGGGGGAAGATATTAGATGGTAGACCTACCGAAATGCAGCTGGGTCTTAGGAGATACAGCAGGTGACAGGGGACAAGAGAAGCCTTACCTAGCAACAGCAAAGGGAGAAGGTGGGACTGGAGAAGTCCACTGTGACAGCCATGGAAGCAGGTATGTGTGGAAACACACGTAGAATGAGCCTACCACCATGAATGTGGCCAGGACCTATACACACACTATTATTTCTAGGAAAAATATTCACAGGAATATGTTTGATCTGAAATGACTGTTAAGCTGTAGTATCTAAAGTAGACATCACTGGGGCTGGAGAGATGGCTCAGCAGTTAAGAACACTGGCTGCTCTTGCAGAGGACCCGGGTTTGATTCTGTCACCAGAGCTCTCTCTGGGTCTCTTGTGTTATCAGGCAAACCATATAACATATCTTTATGTGCATTTATTATTATCATGGGCCGGGGGGAGAGGGAAGTAACTTACGAAGGAATGAGCACCCAGTACCTAACCCCACGACACTCAGTTCAGGCCGCACCTCCAGCAGTGCGGCCTAGAGCCCACCATATCAGCCCACTCCCACACCACGCCCATATCATTGCTACTGTTCACTCACATCTCAGTCCAACAATCTCGCCCCAGGTCCATAAGTGTTAGGCCATTGCGTCCTTGAGCTGCTGCGTGGCTGTGCACTCTCCACGCTTGTCGCTCCCACGTTACTCATGGCTCACTGCTCCTGTCCCAAGATGGTGCCACAAGCCCCTCCTTCCGCAGCTCACTTTGCCCAGTCCATTCTCCGCAGCAGGCCCCACCCCTTGGAGGAACTAGAACCCCTGGGGAACACACTCCACCCCTTTCCTCTGCTCTTAAAATCTTTCCACCAATCTTCCGCTAAGGTCCCTGAGCCTTGGAGCGGGTGACAGATGTAGGGAAATCTCTCTTGTATTGTGGCAAGATAGTGACTTCTTGGGCCTCCCCCTTATTTTTCTTTAAGCTGTGGCCATTGATCTATCTCAGTGGTGTTTCTTCTACTATAAAGACAAGTGGAAGGAAGTAGACACATTTAAACAAACACAGATGTAAATACAAATGCCTAGAGGACATCCCAGCAGTGTACTATACTCATTAAACAGTATACTTATGATGGCTTCCCCACTAGGGCCTGTAGCCTTTCTCGACACAGGGGGTTGGCGTGGTCTACAGCACCAGATGTGTTTTCCACCCCTAGGAGCGGGCCTTATCCAATTAGAAATTTGTCAGTTGTACATATGTTGGTCGAGCCATTATTGCACTTGCAGGTATTGCTTGGCATGTCCATAGTGTGCAGCACGTGGGGTTCATTGTTGAGTAGAATCATAGGGGATCCTTTCTTCCCCAACCATCTGCATAACGCCTTCTGGCAATATGAACGTCATCCATCCAGTGGCATGGAGGTTTTTGGCTTAGTCTCAGCTCCATTTCTTCTCCTCCCGTGCTCACATCATGCAGTGTCTTCAGCAACATGGCCTTACTGACCTTTCTAGTGTACAACCAACATTAGTGGCAATAGCCTTGGTGAATCTGAGGACCTCTAGGCTCTCTCTGACCAACAGCTCATGGGGGGGCACCCTACCCCTGGTACTATAGATTTTCTTAACAGTTGTATAGTTTGGGAGTCTCTGTCTTTATCTTACCCAGCCATAAAACTCCCAAGAATCTTACAGCTATAGCTGGCCTTTGCTTCTTCAGGTATCTTTCAAATGGGTTTCACATCTGTAAAACACTTGAAGGTTAACATGTATTAAATCAATCATAGACCATGTCTCACAAAGCATGAAAAGGTCCATTTGTATTAACGGTTTTCTTCATAGATCTTTGTTAGGTACCATAGCATGGGCACAAGGCATTAATTTGGTTAGCTCTTTACAATCTTTAGTTATCCCTTTTGAGTCATTTCACACTTGGGGGATTTTACATGGAGTCTCTTTCCATTCTTTTATTCTTGATATGGTTACAGGTGTTGGCTCTAGTTGCCTAACCCTGCGCTGGGCTAAGGAGGCGGGGGCTTCTCCTGTCCCCACTGCACTTGTGGGTTCCCTGAGTCAGGCAGGCTCTGGGTCTACCTCCTGACTGTAGCCACATCTGTCATCTTCCCATTGACCACACCAGGTTGCTGAGGGAGAACTTGGTGGGAAAACCTGCTTCCACCCCTAGTATAGCCTTTATCAAAAGAGAAACGCATCTTATTTAATCCTAGGGGATTTTTAACCACCCCTTGTACAGCTTTTATTCTTTGAGTATCTTTTGTAAACTGTTCTTCTGGTTTTAAAACCTTTCAGAAATGCCTTAGTACCGAATTTGATTTTCTATCAATGTTTTTCCTCTGGGGATTTGGGCTTGACATAAAACTTGCCACATTTGTCTTCGAGTAACGCTAGTGGACCATTTTCTCTGGTCTTTTTTACAACATGTCTGTTATTTTACAGACATGTTTTACATGCTGGTCAGAGTCATTTAGATTTGCCAATGCCTCTCTCACTTTACAAAGATTCTGTCCCATCAAAGGGCTTAGTAAAACCACTAAAGCCCGTACCATTCTCAAGGTCCCAACTGAATTAAGCTTTCCTTTATATCTCTGGTGAACACAGTCTTATCTGGCCCAGTGAACTGGACATTATATATTGCTTTTCTCATACCTAGTTTTCTCAGTAATCCCTGCCCCTCCTTTATAGTCCTCCAGCCCCTGCTAATCATGTTAGTCTCCCTTGGTGACAACCATGTATCTTTAATGCCTTCAATCAGCCACCCCATTAAGGACTGCTCCCCCCTGCATTGGCCTAGGTTGAACAGCCTATAACGCAAGGACAGACGAGTGGTTATATAACTCAGCTGTGAAGCTTCTGAAGGACTTAGTCTGACGTCATTTGCTCCCATGTCCCATACTCTGACAAGCCACATGGGTAGGGGCTCTCTGCTTGCTTGCTTGCTTGCTTGTTTTTCCTAGTTTTAACAGTTCTAGCATGGAGTATTTCCTAGCTACAGCACAGTTCTCTTTTTTTTCCTTTTGTATTAATGGTTGAATCTGAGGGGCAGCTCTAGCTACTTTTGTTTTTAGGTCATTTTCCTTTTTACTAATATCTGTCTTTTCCTCTGAGTCCTTGGACCTTACATAAGTTAAAGTGTCCCTTTTTTCTCTCTCTCCAGCTCTGCACCTGAGTCTTCCAGGACCTCCCTGGCCTTTTCAGCTTCCCCGGCCTGGGGCACATCTTTTATTATGCAAAGTGACTGCGCTCCCTCTCTGGGCTCTCCATTTGGGGGGTAAAAGTTTTCTAGCCTCTGAATAACCTTTAACTAATCTTCACATACCCACAACATACCCCACATTTACAACACAGCTGAGGCCCAAGCTTCTGCATGGCTGGCCTCTTTTTAGTTACAGATTTTTATAATCCATTGTATAACCCATGTGACTATCCCTAACCCCATTAAGCATATGGGTTTTGATTGGCTTCTCTCTTGGATTTGGGACTCAGAGCCCAGCTGACCTGCCACAGAGGCAACGAGAACAGCACTACTTTCTGAGACCCACATCCCCAAGGCTGTGGTTCATTTATCCTGCAACTATGCCAATTTTGTCTCCAGAGTTCTCCCTGGGTCTCTTGCACTATCAAGAAAACTATATAACATATCTTTATGTGCATTTATTATTATAGGGGAGAGTGACTTACAAAGGAATGAGTGCCTAGTGTCTAGCCCCTCGCCGCTCAGCTCCACTGGCACCTCCTACGGCACAGCTCAGAGCCTGCCGTATCAGACCACTCCCATGCCGTGCCCATAGTCACTGCTAGCATTTGCTCATGCCTCGGGGGCCAGCAATCTCACCCCAGGTCCATAAGTGTCAGGCCATTCTGTCCTTGAGCTGCTGCACAGCTGCGCAGTCACATCGCTCCCAAGATGGCACCATAAGCCTCTCCTTCTGTGGGTCAATCTCACCCCAGGTCCATAAGTGTCAGGCCATTCTGTCCTTGAGCTGCTGCAGGGCTGCGCAGTCACATCGCTCCCAAGATGGTGCCACAAGCCTCTCCTTCTGTGGGTCACTGGCCAGTCCATTCTCCACAGCAGGCCCTGCCCCTTGGAGGAACTAGAACCCCCGGAGAACACAGATTCCCAGCCCCACATGGCAGCTACAAACCGTCCTTAACTCCAGTTCCATAGGAATCCAAAACCCTCTTCTGACCTCTGCTGCATTTCACGACACGGGTGCACTTACACGCAGGCAATACACTCATACACATAAAATAAAAATAATAAATAAAATAAAAAAATAGACATCACTATAAGATGGAGTAAAACTCCCCAAAGTTGCAAAGCTCATAAAACGATCCCTCTTACCAGTTATATAAAATTTCAAGATGAAGATAAATTCTTATGATTTGTTAGACCAAGTTGTGTTATTATGAGGATTTCAGGCATTTCATATTTGCTAGATGTATTAAATACTTTGTTACAAATTATTATTATGACTATTTCTCTAAGAAGATGGTTATTATTTTCATTAGCATAATAGAAAAAAATTTTTGTGAAGAGTTCAGAGGTCTGGGCCTGAGCTCTGCTCGACTCCATAACTGAAATATGCCCAATCCTGCCACCGACTGTGCCCCAGTAGGGAATCACAAAAACAAGAGATATTACTACATGAAACTTTGGGTGCTGAAGAAAAGCCCGGTATCTTACCCAGCCCCACAGTGCAGCAAGCATCAAGTCAAACTGTTTTCAGTGCAGGCCTGTATACTTTCGCTTAACTCTGAATCCGTTTCTTTCTTGGGGAGCTATGGAGATGGCTGTTAACTTCATATTAAGAACAATTTTTATGCTGACTTTTAATATTTGAATAATATAATCATACACACTTACATTTTATTTCAGCTCTGCATGAAGTGACATTAAATGAAGATCAGCACAGGAAACTGCCACAGGAAACACAGAGATTAATACCTATTAACTCAGGTAAGGAAAGAGTTAAAAATAAGACAGGCCTTGTCTTCTTATGAAAGGGAAAGACAGGCGCAGATATCTACATATTCCAACAACATCAAACGGCTGAAGATCACGAGTAAAATGAATTGCTGAAGGAAAAGAGGAAATCAAAGACAAGAAACTAGAATTATCATGCTTCACAGGCTCTGGGTCGACAAGAGGGATCAGAGCCCTGGGGGTGTTGGGTTGTCTTCTAAGAGTCATTTTCTTCAGCCTTCTCAGATTCTGCAGAAACGTTTTGCGTCTCCCTTCAGTGAAGATCTAGGAAGGTCTATGTATTAGTCAGGGTTCTCCAAAGAAACAGAACCGGTAGAATGAATAGAGATTTAGAATGTATAGAGATTTATCAGCATAGCTCACAGGATAGAGTCTGAGTAGTTCCAACAATGGCTGCACCACACTGGAGAGGCTGAGAATCCGTAGTCGCTCAGTCCACAAGGCTGGATGTCTCAGTAGTCCCAATCTGGTGCTGAAGGTCTGACCAATTCCAAAAGATCAGCTAGTCTTCAGCCTACAGCAGCAAGATGAACTCACTGGCGAGAGAGAAGGCAAGCAGCAAGAAGCCAGGCGTTCTCCTCTGCCATGGCCTTTTATATGGCTGCCATCAGAAGGTAACACCCACATTCAGGGTGTGTCTTCCAGCTTCAGATGATCCAATCAAGAAGCTCTCTCTCATTTCAGTCAATCCCAGATCCAGTCAAATTGACACCCAGGATCAGCCATCACAGTCCAAGAGAGCCAAGAAGTTTGGGGGTAGATATGTCTTTAATATTGTGACTTCATTTTGTTTCCTAGGCTGGAAACTATCTCTCAAGGTTCCTTAAAGGTAGAATTCTGGATGCAAATTAGGTTTCCTTGATTAACTATAAATAGAAGTGTTGCAGCATGAAGCTTTTCTGAGTCATGTCCAGGGTCCAGGCTGCAGTTGTCTAGGTAAAGCAGTACGGGTGATAATCAGCCTCAACCAGCCACCAGCACCCTGCAGTGGAGGGCAGGGGGTCCAGCTTCCTGCTCCTCGTTTGCAGATCTCGGGATTGTAGTCTAGAACCACAAAGTTTTCCCATGGAGCCTCCTGATTCCTTCCATTCCTGATTGCAGCAGATACAAGTTTTTGGTGAAAATTTCTATAACCAGTTCTATTTTGTAACCCAAACCCAATAATGATTTCAATTCAACTGTGTATTCCCAGACATTCACAAGGGCTGTCTAGGGCAATGCACTGGTAAGAATATTAACCAAAGTCTGTGGAAAAGCTTTTCCTTCCATGCGTCATAGGAGAGGACATCACTGTGCATCTACCCCCTTAATACATCAACCTCACCTAACAAATAGTCATGTGTGAATGAATAAATACATGAAAGACTAGGTAAAATTTCACAGTTTTGCTTTTTTCAAACAAAGATATAAGTGAAAAATCAACGAGGCAAATCAAAATTAAGCAAAGACTACATACGGGGAAATGTTGCATTTATTCACAAGAATGCTAATTGAACCATATGTGAGTTACAACTTAACACACTCAAAATAGCAAAGTTACCTCAATACAATTCCCAGTCTAAACCCGATCTTCAGAGACACAAATCTGACCATTTTGTTTTCTGAGCTTGTTAAAAATGCACAGTGCAGGAAATAATTTTAAAGAATTAATTTGAAATAAATTGGAAGTTAAAAAAATTAAACTATTCGAAAATAATATAAAAACAGTATCGAAGCTCGTCTGTTCCCGTCCCTTTGTGACTGTTTACCTCAGTAAGGTGGGTTGGTGTGCTGTTTTTCGACATTCTGAAAGGCAATCATTTTTCCCCCTGGGAGTGTTAATACTTCAGTCATTTTAGCTTCCTAATTTGATGCTTTTTGGTGAAGAAGGAACCCTTAAATGAGGAAAGGAAATGCTGAGAGGAAATTACTTGAACAGAACTTAATCGTTTTGTGATATGAAGCTGTGATCACATTTTTTTCACAGTATGACTCAGTCATATAAATGTTTAGTTTACTTAGTTTCTTAATTTGACATGGAACTAAACTGGGCAAAACTTGTCAGCAAAATGTTGTTTTTCACGAGTTACACTACACCAATTTCATTATTAATATAACCTTTCGTATTTGTATGAGAAATTCGTTTAAATGGGACCTGGGTCAGCATAAAGCTCATTTTAAAATGTATGTTTCTAAATGAATTACTGGCCCATGCTATAAATTCAATAAACCTGCCTCCTACACAGGGATTTGAAAACCATGGTTATAGTCACTATTAGTGTCAACACAGTCTAAGTCGGGTTCATAATGAAACTCTCTGGAGACGTCTAACGTGATTACATTCTCTTTGTAATCTACGAAAAGGAGCTCTTCAGAAGATAACAATTCAGTGAGAGGAGACGGGAACCATCTGCTTCGCTTGTAAATCATAGCCTTATTATTTTTTTTATATGGATTCCTGTTCTCTCTTATTAGCACAAGAGAATGAACTGCAGAAAGGTTGGTTTTATTTTGTTGTCTTTATAAAAGTGGAAAGAGGGTTGAACGTTGGCTATTAGGACAGTCTCTGCCTAATGTCTAGCAGAGGATTCCACTAAACATAATACCACTTTCCAAAAACTGCTTTCATTTATACGATCAGAGACAGTCCCTAATAGAATCATATCATAAGCAATCACTCCCATACTAGTTTTCGTCTTTTAAATGTATACCAATCTTTCCCCATGTTTTCACTACTTACATATGTTATTCTCCTCAAACAGCCCAAAAATAAGCAGTAACTAACTGGGTACCCTGAAGGCACCCACAACCAAGGACCTTTCCCCATGAGGTGTCACACTGATGGAAACCTCATCATCACCAAGACAAAAAACAAAATGAATTCAACTCATGGTAACAATGTCAACAAGCTTTGCCTTGAACAGTTTCTTATTGGCTCAAAGACCTGAGAAATCCAGAGTTTCTGAGCATGGCTTTGAGTTCTGCACCCGGTTTTTAATGTAAGACTCTTAGGAAAGAGAGTGAGCTGGCTCCTTTCAGCTTAGTCAGAACTGGTTTGACAACTCTTTACCCAAGTGGGTTCAGGCCAGCATGGAGCATGCAATCTCTAGGATGCCTGGGACCTGGAGACAAAGTGTCACTTTATCTAAGTCCCTTTCCCTGAGCTAAGTTCTGCAGAGGAATGGCTTGATACGTCCAAATGCAAAGCTGTTTCCTCATCCACTGGAGCACATCTCATGGAATTCATTTCCCTGATCCTATGCCTTGTTTCTTGGGAGAGGAATAACCCCTTCACTTTCTATTGCACCTCCCTCCCCATCCAGCAGCCTGGCCCAGTGGAGAAGGTCTGGACCACCCAATGCATAATGTGAACCAAGATACTTCACTTCCCTGAGACTCTGTTTCCTCTTCCCTATAATGAGAGTGTCTACCTTATCAACTGTGGTAGACAGAATACAGGCTACAATATATCTACACCCAAGTATTTAAAACCTATCAATCTATTATTTAACTTGGCAAAAGAGACTTTGCAGCATATGGAGTTAGGGATGAGAAATTGTATAGGCTTTATCTAATCACATGGGCTTTACAGGTGGAAAACCTTTCCAGGCTGTGATGATGAAGATAACTGATGGTGCATAAAACACTGAGAGACAGCAGAGTAGGAACTCAAACTAGGTCGCTGGCTTTGAAGATGGGGAAGATGCTCTTGGCTAAGGACCCCAAGTGTTCCCTGGAGGCTGGAGAAGGCAAGAAAACAAACTCTTCCCGGAGTCTCCAGAAGGGAGCTGGGCCCTGATCACGCCGTGATTTTTAGCCCAGTGAGACCTGCATTAGAATTCTGAGATACAGAACTATAGATTAAAGTTTTGTGTTTTAAACTGCTACACTTGCAGTAATAACAACAGCAATTTAAAATGCAAATACAAGATGCAGTAAAGCATAATTAGAGGGCTTACCACAGTGCCTAGCACACAGATTGAACCCTTAAACAAGCATTGCCTTTCCTCCCACACCTTATCCAGGAGACCCATTCATTCCAGAACAACAATAAGCTCATTCTGTGTTTTAGACTCTGAATCCAAGGAGTTAGCTGAGGTCTCATTCTGACCAATGCAATCTCTTCATTTTCTACATATACCATGCTCAAGTAGGCATTTGTTTTTCTCAATGACTCAGCTCCAGACCCCTGGCACACCACATACATCAACAGAACCCACCAATAGCTGCACATTTTCGACTCTTTAACCTGCTTGCTCAGGGTGAGCTGTTTCGGTAAAACTTGAAGGGAGGGAAGTTATTTTGTTTAGCTTTGCATTCAGGAAGCGGATGATGACCAAAGGGAACAGATAAGGTGTTCTTAGTGTTATGGAATTTGACACCATGGGGAAAAGACCACCAGACTCAATTCATATTTTAATTGGTTAAATTGATTAGGGCTATAGCCATCCATGGTCCCTTAGTCAGATTCAGGACCCATGGCCCTGAGGGGAGGTTGAAACTGGTTTATAAAAGCAAAAAACACAAGAATTCCTTCACACATGAGTAATGCCAGGTGGTCCTGAGTAGGGTCAGGACAGCCCAAGTTAGCAGATAAGCAAACCACAGAAGCAAGAACAAGCTTGTGTTAGTCCTTCTCTTAACAGATGCATAGACCTTGACAGTAAGGCACTTTCTGATAACTACTGTTATTTAGGCTTCTTGGCCAGGCAAGAAGCACAGCTACAGTGTCTGGGAGGTGACCAAGGTCAGCTACTCCAAAGAAAGCACTCTTCTAAGGGGAAGCAGCTAAGCTCAGGTGCTTAACCTTGGAGCTGGCTGTTTTTCTAGCTTTTGAAGTTTAAAGTGGCTGCTTTATACAAAATGAAGTTACTTTGGCTATTACAGTTTGGGGGACTCCATTTAGGGGCATTACATTAGTGCCCGTCTCTACTCTACCCAACCCCAAAATGTCATCATAACCCCTAATGTCTGCCAAGCAGACAGGCTCAAACCACCACTTCTGGAAGATCTGGGGAGACAAGAACCAGCAGAATCAGGAAGCTGGGGTGGAGACAGAAAGTATTGAGTAGGTTGGGGGGTTAAGAATGGAATTGTTGCCATCCTCCTTAAAAGTACGACTTCAGACCCACGAGATGGAATTTATCTATGAACTGAAGGTGCTAAGTGTGCTGCAGAGGTGGCAGAGCTCTGACTAATCCCTTGGACAAAGGGCTTCTTGATCAAGAGACAAGGGAACCGGAACTGTCTCTCTCTTGACATGCTGGAGCCTACAGAGCAGCTGAGTACCGAACACCGACTCCTGGCAAAACTCAGGCAATTTTGCATCTCCACCTCAGAATTAAACTCTGTTCAACAGAAGTGACACCCACCTCAGATAGGAGCAGCTGAGGGTCAGTATCTACCGAAGGGGACTCAGAGAACAAACTGTCACCACTGGGGAATGACCTTGGAAATTCCACTCTGCTTCCGACGGTCCCTTCCACTCTGTTGAGCCTCTTTGAGTGGGTCTGTTAGTAAAGCCTCATTAGAGCCCGTCCCTGGTCAGAGAGGGTAGGGGCCTTAACAGGGATATGCCAGTCTCACAAAGTGATGCTCCCCGAAGATTGCAACACCCCTATCCACACAGGTCCAGCCTTGCTGGCAGGGAAAGACTGCAGGCGCTCTGCTCTGGAATGAATTCTGAGACGTTTGTCAGATTAGTGGAGTGTTCTTTATTGCTTCTCTTTCTTGTCTGTGTGTAAACGTCTGTGTGACTTTTTTTTAATGTTTTTATTGATGTCACAGGATGTTAGTACAAAAACAAGACTAGCACTACCGTTTGGGCTCTTGGCTTCCCACACCTCCCTTCTCCTCCAACAGCTAGCAAAGCGTGAGGACTGTTTATTCCATGGCTTAGTTCCCCTTTATCTCTGATGTCCCAGGATGTCAAAGGTTGGAAATTTAATATTGATTTCATAAAGTAGTTTTACTCTAACATGTCAGTTATGATTAACTTCACGCTGAAGGAAGCTCAGTCAGTGATCTGGATTTGCACGCAATGTGGCTCCCCAGAGTGAATGCTTTATCTGTTAGCTTATGCAGTCCTTTGTAAAGGCCAGGACAGCCCCAACCCCCAGCCCTCTCTCTGTTCTGAGCCTCCAGCACCTGGGCCCTTACATTAAGCTTGAAAACCTAAGTAGATCAGGGAGATATATCATTTGCTGGTATGTCAACAGACAGGAGCGTTTATAGATCACATTATACCCTAGTGGATACAACCAGAGAGAGAGAGAGGAATGAGAAGTCTTACTTGGGTTTCGACCTCTCCTCTTTTCAGGCCCCCAGTGCCCCTGTGTACCACCACCAGGACAAGGGCTGTTACTATAACAACAGTGATAAAAGATGACATTTATTGAACACTTTCTATGGATTGGCCACTTAATAAGCATTGGTCAGAGTACTAAGAGCTTTCGTTTAATCTTTGCATCAGCCCTAGGAAGCAGATGTTTATTAATTACCATTATTTGTTACAGCCACCACTACCGGATCCATTTCACTGAAGAAAGAACCAAAGGACGTTCAGGAATTCAATCCCAGGCAAGCTAAGCCTCAGAACCCACGCTCTGTCCCCAACACCATAATGAATGCGCTGTTAGAAAACTGAGAAATGACGGGGTTTTTTTTGCACAACCCCTGCCAAGACAACATCTTAGGCTCACATTAACAACCCAGGTTCTCAGATTGCCTCTTTTGATACAAACTGGGCTTGGAGCAAAGTGGTAGAATTCATCCCCAGATTCTGCCTTTCTCTGGTATTTTTATCCCATGCTACGTGTCCTCTCTCCTTTCTCACACCTTGAAAGAGGAAGCTGGAGATGCTCCTGCTTTGTGGCGGGAAGTGCTTGCTGAAGCTGTAGGGCTGCTCTCCTGATTGACAGCTGCTCGTTGCTGAGGCAGGTACACAGCCTTCCCGGAGGAAATGGACCACCGTCTCACCTTGGGAAATCTCTGCTCTCTCTAACCTCAGAGACTACTCTCCTGTTAAGTGCACTGTGCTGAGCACTCTCTTGATTAGTGTATGTTCCTTGTGTCAAAGCCCCCCACCCCTTGTACCTTCCAAGCTGAGACAGACCAGGGGCGTGCCTAGGTCTGCTTTTCCTAACCCTCGTCCTCTTCCCTCTTCCTGTATCTTAACGGGGAGGACAAAGGATACATTAAAGCCTATTAAAGATGGTACCAAATTCTTTGTCATGTCTGATCAAGAGGTAGGATCTCAGGACTGAGGGGATGGCTCTGTGGAGAAGAGTGCTTGCTTCACCAGCACGAGGGTGGGTCTGAGTTTGAATCTCAGCACTGTGTCAAAAGCTAGGTGTGGCTATCAGTGTACTTTTAATCCCTGCACTTGGGAGCCAGAGACAGGAAGACCACCGAGGCTTGTGGGCGGCCAGGTTGTCTCCAGGTTCAGTGAAAGACTGTCTCAAGGGAATAAGGTGGGGTGCTAGGGCAGGATACAGTTTGATACCCTATTCTGGCTTCCGCACATGGGTTTATATAGTCACGTACACATGGCCGTATACTCCACAACACACACACACCCCTCAGAAGAAAAAGGAAGGAGAAGAATAGAGAAAAGGGATGGGATCTCTGTCCCTTCCTTTCGCACCTAGACAGGATCTGCTACTGCTCTGGCCAATAAAATTCAGTGCAAATGGTGGTGAAGCCCTCTCTGCTTGCATGTCACATCTTCCTATCCCCGTCCCTGATGGACAGACCACAGGCAAGGCCCCGGGACACATGAAGAAGGGAGGGGACTGGGAGATTGCGTGGAGGAGGAGAGGACGAGCTGAGCCTTCCTTGAGTAAAACGGTCCTGAACCGCCAGAGCAGAACAGATGCCCCATGAATGCCGCCAAAAAGCAGCCAGTTAAAGCACGTGGAACACAACTGCCCGCCGCCCAGCCCAGAGTCCGAGGCCTAATAAAAAGGTATCTGCTTCATGGTGGTAGACGGTAGACAGACGTGACTGTCATTTCAGCTTTTTTGGCTCCTGGACTTTAAGGGTGATCGTGTGACTCCCTGGGGAGTCTGTTTCTAGTCATCATGTAGAACCCTGAGACCCTCTTCATTCACCCGCTACCCCCCAATCTGCCTAGACATGCCCTGGCATGCCCTGACCCCTGCCTGCTATCCTCCCATTCCAGGAAACTATAGATTAAGCGAACCCGGGCATGAAACCTGCCCTATAAGTTAAAAATGGAGACTCCTGGCCCCACAGATAACAGTCAGCACATTCCACAGCCCTGAGAATAGCACCTACCAAAAAGAAACTTTCAGGGCTGCATCTTATACATCCAGTCAGTTTCAAAATATGTTGGCGTGCACGGGCTCCTTGAACTAACCAAAATGTATCTTTGGTATCCCCCTCCTCTCTTTGTCTAAAACCTATAAAAGGCTCCACTCTCCCTTACTCTGGGCTCTCAGCATGGATCCATTGAGTTGCTGAGGTCTGAGAGCCCGAGCTTAAGCCCGAATAAACCATAAACCTTTGCTTTTGCATTTTGGTGTGTTGGATTCTCGGTGGTCTCTTTGGGGTCCAGTAGATGGGGTACAACATTCACAGAGAGAGGGGAAAGGCAGACCAAAGAATTGATTCCGCCCAAGTCCAACTTGGTGGCCAACGAGTTCATTGGGGTCACTTACTGGAGCACCGGTAAGGGGCTGCTTACGGCAATGTGGACGACTCAGCGGCAGCTGCACCACCGGAAAGTCCTACCCAGTGTGGGTGACAGGCATGAAGGCTGCATCCCCCGAGCTCTCTGCACTACTCACAGGCAGCTACTCCACCAACGTGTCCCCCACACCTTGAAATTGTTCACTGCTTATAGCCCTGAGGCGAGGTCTTGTGAGTTTTGTCCCATGCACAAATGCTTCAGCCTAGAGGAAAAAGCACAACAGACATGTCTCGTGGGGGGCAGGAGGGTCTTGACTGACCCAGCTCGGTGCATTTAAGCATACAAAAGAAAGTCATACCTTCTCCACATGACTTGTGATGTATTGCTTGAGATCATTTCTACAATTTTCTTTGGATTTTTTCAGTTACCAACAACCATGAGGCAAATCACTTCAGAAGAAACACAGAAAGCTCTCCTCCCAGGTGGGTGCAGAAACATATGTTTTGTCTAATAATTGGGATAGTTGAGCTCTTTAAATCATTAGTTTTCAAATATAATTTAATCTACTATTGAATTTGTGTGTTTTAATATTTATTCTGATTTAAGTGACTGTGAGAAGCACTCTTCTTTTTAAGAATATAATACAGCCGGGCCGGGCCTGGTGGCGTGCACCTTTAATCCCAGCCCTTGGGAGGCAGAAGCAGGTGGATCTCTGTGAGACTGAGGCCACCCTGGTTCACACTGTGACTTCCAGGTGGGCTGTGACTAGGGAGACCCTGTCAAAAAACAACCAACAAAAAGCCAATAATTAATAATAATAATATAATTCAAGAGTTTTAAAGAATTCAGCTTATGTATTACCATGGTTGGTTTTGGTTATCAATTTGACACACATCTGGCAAGAGGGAATCCCAATTGGGGAACGTCCTCTACTGGACTGCTCTATGGGAATGTCTGTGAGGTATTTTCTTGATTTTTGAGTGATGTGGGCAGGTCCACACCACTGTGGGCAGTGTCACACCTGGGCAGGTAGTCCTGGGTTGTCTAAGAAAGCAGGCTGAGCACAGGCCAGAGGAGCAGGCCAGTAAGCAGCGTTCCTCCATGGTCTCTGCTTCAGCTCCTGCCTCCAAGTTGCTGCCTTGAGCTACTCCCCTGTCTTCCCTCCATGATGAACTATGATTGAGACATGTAAGTCAAATACACCCTTTCCTCTCCAAGTTGGTTTTGGCAAGAGTGTTTTATCACAGCAACAGCAAAGCAAACTAGGACATAGGTCGATCTATAATACACTTTCATGAAAGTAAGACAGATATGGAGCTGGGAAGATGGCCCGGTCAGTAAAGCACTTGCCACACAAGCACAAGGACCTAAGTTCTACCCACAGCACCCAAGCAAAAAGCAAAAAGCCGTGTGTGGCTGCACATCTGTAACCCCAGTGTGGGGGAGGCTGAGGCAGGCAGCTCTCTGAGGCTCACATGCCAGCCTGACTAAATCCGAAAGCCCCAAGCCAGGAACAGACCCTGTCCCTAAAAACAAGGTAAACAGCTCTCGAGAAATGACCCCCGAGGTTGGCCTCTGGCCTCCACACACATGCACACACTCATAAACACAGACAAATAAGATAAATAAAAAACAGGACATAAGGGAGACATGAAGCCTCATTCATCTGCAGACATTTGACATTTCATGGCCAGATTCACCGTGTACTGAGTTTGTGATTTGGTGAAAATGACATCGATGACATTCCTTTAAAAGTATAGGGTTGTGGGGCTGGAGAGATGGCTCAGTGGCTAAGACCACTGGCTGCTCTTACAGAGGACCTAGGTTTGGTTCTTAGTATCCACATGGCAGTTAACAGCTGTCCGTAACTCCAGTTCCAAGGGAGCCTATGCCTTCTTCTGACCTGCATAGGCATTGCGTGACACAGGGGCACTTACGTATGTGCAGGTAATACATATTCATATAAAATAAAAATAAAAAATTTGAAGTTTAGGGTTGTATAGCTGCACACAGTGGCTCATACATTTAATCACAGCCTATGAGACCAAGGCCAGCCTGGCCTACATAGTGAGTCCCAGGTCAGCTGGGGCTATAGAGAGACCCTGGCTCAAAAAAAAAAGTATTGGGTTGTAAATCATTTCAAAGAGGGCTTGTGTGAGTGTGAAACCAAGAGTTCTTAATGTTGTGGTGTCACTGAAGTTCTGCACAGAATGCCCCTGTACTCAGTATTGCTATGCTTTCCCGTAGAGACAGGAAATTTAGCCCCTGGTGGTCATGGTATGCTCCATAACTGGTGATATGAGGAATTAATGAATGTCCCAAAGCTTGTTGTTTTTTTAAAGTGTAGACTGCCTGTTCTTTAGGCTCCGGGAGGCCCAGTACTGAGTACTCGGATAACCAGTGGGCCAGTGGCCTTCCCTCACAACCTCTCCGGGTCTCACCTTCTCTGGACCTCACTCTCCTCCTAAGTACACAACACACCCTGTGTGATTGCTGTAATGATGATGGTTTTTCTCCTTGTAGCACCTGGGACAGCGGTACGCTGCTTGCTGCAGTGACCCCATAAAAGCTTGTCCTTCGGATGGATCTCCAGGGTGAGGAAAGCCAGAGGCCAGCAGGAGCAACTCTGTACTGAGTGCCTCATTTCCTTCTAGTCCATTTTTATTCTAAGCAGCGCTGTGGCAACTAGCCTGTCACAGGGAGAGCCTTCCCACACCTGCCTCAAAGGCATCAGCTTCCTGAACCTTCCACCTAGGGCTTTCTACATGCATCAAAGCCTGTAGCACCTGAGCACACATGTGCAGTTGAACCTCTGTAAAGCACAGACGCCCTATGGAACAAGTCTGAATGAATGGGGAACATAGACTGGAGGACATCTAATTTCTCCTCTTGCGTATGTGTGTCAAAGAGTTCCAAAGCTCAGTCCTTGAGGCCCCTCGGACAGGGTGAGCACAGCGGCCCATGCAGGAATCAGCTCAACCACACACACTTTCAATGGCTTTCCTGCCCTCTCTGGCGCCTCTTCTCCAGTCCCTCACTCCTCATGCCTGGAATTACTTCCTTAAGAAAGGAAGTTTATGCCAAGCCTTGTCTCTAGCTTTGCAACGAGAGCAGAACCAAACTAAAAGACTATCTATGGGGCTGGAGAAATGACTCGG